AATAGTTGCTCAGACTATGGGTTTTGGGCTTGTATAATCAATCAAACAATACCGGCATTAGGTTGTTTCTTTACTTCAGTTGTTATGATCTCAGCCTGTGTTCTTACAAATCAGCCAGTTGCCTAGGACGGGGTTTCTTCTTTCCCAGCCAGTGTGCTGACTGGCTCCTGAGGAGGAGGGTAGCCTCCTTCCTGGTTCTCCCTGATTAGCATGGCTACTGCTGATGTACAGGGACCATGTAGCTTCCTTCTTGGTTCTCCCCAATCAGCAGGGTCACCACTGGCATCCCAAATAGATACCTTGAGCCTTCAGAGGAACGATACAACATATATAAAGCAATAGAGAAATCATCCTGTGATTAAACAAAGAATGACTTTATACAAATCTTAACAAAAAAAGTCTTGGCTATATTTTTTAACTTAAAATGCCTTGTAAAAATGATTTTTAAAGTATGTTTCTTGATGAAAATCTTTCTTTGTAAATCAAAGCTAGGTAAATATTCCCCCCACAGCAGCTGTTTTAGAGTAATCCCCTCACCTTTGCCTTCACTGGTCAGATGTACTCACACAAAGGTGTACTGAGACTGAAAAGTACTCAATCACTTGTAATCCTTCTTCAGAGTTTTCTGTAGGTTGTTATCCAGGTGCATTTTCTTATTTGTATTTGTTCTTAATTTTAATAGTTCCATAGTCAACCAAATTATTTCAGTTTTAAATTGCACTGCTAATGACCTGTTTAACTCCTTGTGCCAGTTAGGCATCAAGTTGAGGATGTGGTCCCTAGTATTTATCCTCTCTTCTCACAGATCCCCAGTATGTGGATCAAGGAGCAACCCCTCATCCTTTGTCTGCTTTTGTTTTCCAATTAGATATCAGAAATTAGACAAGCTAGCTGAAATATGATAGCTCATGAGAGTTACAGGATGACTATTGCTCTGTTACCGATTTTAATAATTACTAGTAATTTCTGATCATGAATGAAATAACTTCAGAAATATTTGGAAATTTCTGTTTATTCAAAATTTTAAAAGCATCCCAAGTCACTTGACCAATATGTATTCTGGGGTGATTTTTTACCCTTTGAAATATAAAATGGGAGTGAGTGAAGTATTATCATTTAAGAACTGAATGGTTTAAATTAGGTCAACCTTCTCTAGATAAAGATACTTTCAAGAGTTCAGTTACTTTAGGCAATTCATTTTAAACTACATTTATAAGTTGTTGAAGGTTACTCTTCAGAACCTATGAGAATTATGGAATACAGTAGTGGGGAAATAACATAAAGCATAAATACTATCAAGTACCGCCACTTCTAGACATGTAGAGGTTCTGTTACCTAACCCTCGAGGATTCTGGAAACCTGGATTACTTAGATCTGTCTTTAAAACATGTATGAAGAGATATACAAAGAGTGGAATCCTGTAGTGAGATGAGAAGTATTAGGTAAGCAGACTGAAGTATACAGTTGAAAATGCTAAACAGACAAGCACAAAGAAGGTCTAAAGAATCTGAAGAGAATGAGGACACCAAGACAGAGCACATGAAAATTAATTTGTTTAGGAGGGAGGAAAAAAAATACTGGTGATATTCCCTCAGATACTGTAACAAAGTAATAGGGACTTTTGATGAAAAAGCTTCATCTTCTTTTTGAGTAGCAAAAGAACTCTTAAGAGCCCCTAAGTCAATTTAAATCTTATTTTAGACTCAATGTATGATTTTTTTGTAGAATACAAATCAAATTAGACAAGTGAAGAATTTCAGTGGCAGTTACTTATTACTTTCCAAGAATGTCCATTTGGTTTTAAAAACCTGAGTATGGGACAGGTTTTCCTTTTATTGTCAGACTCTAGAACTTCCACCCAGTGGTCCTGATCTTTCATGGGATGCAAAATTACAATATTCATTAAGATTTTCAGGTATTCAACAGAGCACAAAAATTCAAGTAGTGAGACTTTCTAGGTGTCTTAATTTAATATTTTTAACTGTCAATGAAAATGGTAATGAATTCTCTGCTAGAATTTCACACTGGCTGGTATTTGGGTAACAGTTCTCAAACTCCAAATGTTTTGTACAATTTTAAAATTTCTTATAAAATAGAAGTCTTCTTAAAAAGTAAAGTAGCCATAAATTATGTTTATTGTTTTCAATGCCAAGCTTTTAAATAAACACATGCTGTGAGAGGTACTTACCCAGATTTGGCCTAAGCCTGAGCCCTTGTTCTCAGTGACCTTAGAACTATAGTCAGGTCCCTGACAGGAAAAAAAAAAAAGTGTTGTTTTCTATTTGAAATTCACACACATTGTGGAAGGGGAATGTAATGTACAAAAAAAAAAATAATACTTCTTGAGAAAAAGATAATGTATTTCTCAAGCATAAATAAGACGCTAAATTTGTTCCTATATCCACAAGTCAAACAAAAATGACAAGCAAGAAGACACATCTTTAAATAGGTGAGGCATACAGAGCAAACCCCACCCAGCAGTGCAACCTGGGCACCTCTCAGAACCTGATAGGGTCCCGCCCAGCATCCACCATCAGCCCAGGACCTTCAGGTAGGTCCTTTAGGGCTTGGTTGGGCTCCACCAGTGACCACAAGTGGCCAGGGATGCACCTGCACTCAGTGGCATGAATCAAAGCCCTGCACAATGAACCCCACCCAGCTGTGCAAACAGGGCATCTCACTCAGAACCTGGTAGGGCCTGGCACAGTGACCCCAAGCAGATGTGGATCTTTGGTGTATCATGTGGCACGAACTGGAGGCCTGCACAGCAAACTCCATCTAGCTGTTCAGCCTTGGCTCACCACTCAGAACATGGTAGAGTCCCATCCAGAAAACTCAAGCTGCCAGAGAGCTTCAGTGTATCGCATAGGATGTGTTGAAGGTCCAGCCAGCATAATCCCCACATTTGAGGAGACTTCAAGTGCTACTAGGTACCTAGTAAGGCCTGACTAATGACCTCCACTCAACTGGGGAAACTCTCTGCAATATGTACCAGGAAGCCACCGAGACTGCATTCATCTTCTCCAGGGGAGTACAGGAAATGACAAAACAAAAGAGCAAAATGCAATCTCAAACCTTCAGCCCATGCCAAACAAAATCAACATGGTACTGGAATAAAAATAGACGTGAAGATCAATGGAATAGATTAGAAGATACAAGCTCAACTACAAACACACTCAGTCATCTAATGTTTGACAAGGGGGTCAAACACATCCACAGGAAGAAAGATAGTCTCTTAAAAACTGGCTTTCCATATACGGAAAACTAAAACTGGACCCATGCCTATCCTCATGCACTAATTTAAAGTCAAAACAGGTCTTCAACACTATGAAAAGAAAACCCACAAATTGGGGAAAAAGTCTTAGTCAACTCTCCCTTAGACAAAGGACTTCTATGTAGAATATACAAAGATTTTTTAAAAATCAGACCCCTGAAATTCAAAAACACAATCCAAAAATGAGCATCTGAGATGAATATACACTTCTCAGATGAAGAAATATAAATGACAAATAAATACATGAAAAATGATCAAGCATCATTGGTCATCAGAGAAATGCAAATTAAGGCCACATTGAGATTCCATCTCACTCCAGAAAGTATGGCCAGGATCAAGAAAACCACCAATAATGAATGTTGAAGAGGCTATGGGGAAAAAACAGTTCTGCTGTCCCCCTCTATTGGTGGGAGTTTAGACTTGTGCAACCACTGGGGAAGTCAGTCTGGAGATTCCTCAAAATGCTGGGATTGGAAATCCCACTTGACCCAGCTATTCCACTTCTGGGCATTTTCCCTACAAGAATTAAAAACATTATACCATAGTGATATATGGGCACCTATGTTTATAGCAGCACAATTTGTAATAGCCAGGTCTTGGGAGCAAACTAAATGCCCATTAACTGAGGAAAAGATATGGTATTTTTTTTACAGGGGAGTACTACTCAGCTATAAAGAAGGATTACATTGAGGCTTTTACAGGTGCGACTTGCGACCATACTCAAAAGTGACATAAATCAAACTCCTATGTGTAAATACCATATTGTCTCCCTAGTATAAGAAACATGAAGAGTAAATAAGATACAAAATCTTCTATAATTATTGTGGAAGGGTAAGAAACTGCTTAAAGGGGAAAAAATAACAGGGAAAAGAAAAGGAAGAAAAAAGATATAAATTTGTATATGTACAATATAGCTACGATGATTGTGCTACTAATTCTGTCAGTTCTCAGAATAAAGCAGTTAACATTCATAGAACTGAATCAATTTTGCATGTTTATGCCTGGTAATCCGAGCAACTCTTTTGAAGATCACTATGCACTATCACTAGTTATGCTCCTACCTCCTTATTTTGAGCACTTATATTGTCATTATTTTGGGCTCATTGTTGTTGTTATTTATTTCTCTCTTGTGTTTTTTATTTTTCTCATAGTTTGTTTTGTTTTCATTTTGCTTTTCCCTCTAATACACAAAGGATAGATGTACATGTATAGTCTTTTTTTGTCTTTTATGTTTTTGTCGGTACCAGGGATCGAACTCACGACTGCCTGCTTGCAAGGCAGGTGCTTACGCCACTGAGCTAAATTCCCAGCCCCTACATGTATAGTCTTATGCATGCCTAGAACTTCTAAAGAGAATACAGGAATTGATTTTATTACATGTAATAGTATGAATAGTTCCTTTGAAGAAAATGAGACATTATGGTAGCCATTGATGATTTCCTATCACCTTGTTGTGAAGTCCAGTAATGCTTTTATTCTTTGTTTTGATTGCTTTTAGTTTGTTTTGTATTATTCAGTCTCAATATGTGTCAAGGTATGAACAGCTATTTTGAAAAAAACAAGAGAAATTATGGTAGCCATTGCTGATTTTCCTATTGTCTGGTTTTGAAGGCCCATAATGCTTTCATCTTTATTTTAATCTGCTTAGTTTTGTTTAGTTTTATTCTCTTTAAAACAAACAAAAAACTTTAAAAATTAAAACTTTTAAAAAAATAGATGACTAGTATTCCATTTTCATATAAGAGAACTTTTATTCTTATACAGCAGCATTTCCTTAGTACCAAATAGGGGCTTGGGGAGAACTATAAGAAGGACTGAGTGAAAACAGAAAGACGAATAGCTGTGTTCTACTTGGGTGTCTGTGTAGGGGCTACATTTAGCATTAGATTACAATTCTTAGAGTGATCTTCACTGACAAACAGGGATTTCTGTGGGGAGTGGCTCTGGGGAACCTGCACAGCACTCAGCTAGAGTAAGGACTTGCGCTCTGGTCCCACTCTATTGCTTGTGCCTTTTACAAATGGCTTTGATGCAATAAGCTGCTGTAGTCCTCCTTCTCTGTGAGGAGTGGCTGCTTTTCCTCAGGGAGCTGCTTTCTCTTGTGATGGCACAGCAGGCTGGTTAACCCCACCAGTGCTGCAGCAAGCGCGGCCCCTACCAAAGCTGCTCCGAGCAGCCACGGCCAGATCTGACGTGCTTGTTCCAAGTAGGGCTCGAAGTAGGTTTGAAAGAAGTCTGGATCTGAAATAGAAGGAAATCTCAATTTTTTCATTGTTTTTTATGTCATCAGCATCATCACGATCTTTGGCTAATACTTCGGAGTTGGACACAGGATCGAACGCCAGCTCTGCTACTGATTAGGGGTAAGAGCTTGAGCAAGTTGTACGCCTTCCTCCTCAGTTTCTTCCCTAGGGAGAAAGGAAAATGATACTCTGTGGTTGGGATGTTTTACAGTTGGCAGATCGTCTATAATAAATTATTCAGTGTCTGGTATATAGTGTGCGCTCATTTGTTAGTGTTTTCTGCTGGTCTTATGACGTCTGATTAGCAGTGCAACACTACTGCATTAATTATTCAATGAGTTTTAATATCTGACCAACATTAACTGACAAGAATGTTACTAAATGCTCAGTGATCTCAGAACCCTCCAAGAGCTTTGAGACATTTGTAAAATCTCCTAATGCTTTGAAATCACATATTTAAATTTTAAAGCTTGTTATCAAGTGTGTTTTTAATAATCATGAAAGGAAAACGTTCCAGTATTCTAATTGGTTACATTGCTTCAAACCACATAAGCAAATGCCTCTGATAAGGGACAACACTGGTGACTACCACCCATAAAAACTTTCTACCTCTAAAATTCCTTAGTGTTGATAATCTGAAACTTACAATTCACAAATATATGTAGTGCATTCCCTTTCACTGCTCAGAGATTGTATTATGAGGTCACATTTGACCTCATCAAAGACCACTGGTTTCTTAACATCATTTTTATATTTAGTTCAACAAATCTTAAATATTTAAAAGGTTAAGAGGTTATCATTTCTTCTATATTATACTGATTAAATTCTATTTGTTATTATTTAAATATGACTGTATGAAAGTGATTCCTTGCATGTGTTTATAAAATGAAATTAATTAAAACATATGCTTCATGGTTTTATTTTGCATCTGGTCACATATATGTAAGAAAAACAACAAGAATTGTGGTGAAGATCAAAATAATCACAATGGTTTGTTTATATGGCCAGTCTTGGTCTTATGTAAGTAAATAAAGGCGCAGCTCTGATCTCTTAAAAATTATAGCAATGAGAGGAATCATGCCTTCTCACAAAGCAGGCCCCACTATACTGATGGGTAAGAGCCTCAGTAAGGAGAGAAACTAGGCCTTCCCGTTGATTGGAGAACGGGGTGAGCTGATAACAACTTAAGGGACGGGAATAGTTTGATGCTTGTGTTGTTTGGCTAACTCTGCAGGCCTGGGGCTGGTGGCCTGGGCGTCTACTTGGAGGATGGCAGTGTACACTGCATCAACTTTGGGGGATATTATTCCTGTCTTGTTTTTGAAATCCAATGTTTTGCTGCATTGTACTGTTTTGTTTTATCCTTGCATCTGGTAACCTGAGCAACTATTTGGAAGATTGCAATATTGATCTCATTGTTTTGTTTTATTCTGATTTATTGTTATTCTGTTTTGTTTTGTTTGATTTTGCTGTATATGATGGTATGGACAACTATTGTGAAGATAGCAAGATATATTATGGTAGCCTTTGTTGATTTCATATTATCCTGCTTTGGAGTTCTGTACCAATTTTACTGCTTTGTTTTGCTTGGCTTTAAGCATATTTACTCCCAATTCCTACCTCCCTCCTCTGCGGCAGTGGGAACTATAGCATTCCTTCATGTCTCCTCTTCTTGCCTATGGGTGCTTAGTAAATGGTGGAGTCAGGGCTTCGCCAGGGTGATCCCTCAAAATTATTACCTGAGATTTACTAATCTGGAATTGAGAGTCAGGTGACTCAGAAACTGATGACAGCCATACTTCCCAAAAAGTAGATGGGTGCAACCAACACACATTGAAAGCTAGGGCTTGGGAGAAAAGAGTTCCCTGGCTTTAGGGTGTTCAGTTCCTCGATTTCTGATGTCTCTCAGGCTCAGTTGTATTTCTGCCTTTTCCATAACTAAATGCACCTCCCATTTCTGGATTGATTTCATAAATCAATATATTCTCTTCTTTTCTTTTTTCTTTTCTTATTTCCCATGAAATTTTTGGTCATGTGTATTTTATCTTATTTATAGAAGTCAATGTTTATTAAAAGGCAGATAACTTAAAAAGTGCACATTCAAAAGCTACATTTTGCCAAAATTCAACAGTACCCATGGCAATAGTTAGGATTCTGAAAAGAACATTTCTGACTAGCTTGCTAAAAACAAGGTTTGAGCATTAGCTTGGACCCATCCTATCTGCTAATCTGGCAGCCAGAGAGATGCTGTGAAATCACAAAGCCTGTCAGGTTGTTCCCCTGTCCAGAACCTTGCTTGCCCATTTTTTATTAGTATATGTCTTCAGTACATAACAATTACATTCACTGTAGGCACCTGGTACATGTACATAACAAGGTGCAATTCCATTCTTTTTTCCTGTTCCATCACCTCTTATTTTTCCAGCATCAGATTCATTTATTTATCTTATAAAATTAACCATTGTATACACAGATTGAAAGCCAGAGTAATTGGCTATGGAACATATAAAATATATAAGACAATTTTACTAAGTTAATGTACACTTTTAGATACATTGTTCATGCTAGATGGCAATATTTCTTTTTTTCTATAATTTAATATATCTGTCATTTATTATGTACTTTGTATATATTAAGTTTTTCATATAAAAGAACTTGTGATATTTAAGCTTGTAGGTCTGAGTTACTTCAGTTAACCTTATGCCATTTGTATTTTAAAAGGTCATAATTATCTTGAAAAGGTAATTATTTTCCTGCTAAAAGCTAAATATACTAGGTCATTATGGAATTACAATTATATGTAAACTTACTACATGATAAAAAATTATATATACAAAGCAAGGAATGGGAATGTCCACTGTATAAGAAAGCATCTTGGGAGGAATATGTAGCAACATGAAGTAAAATTAGAAACAAGAATTTCATTGTTTACCATAAATTTGATAAAATTCAGAATGATTATATTAATAATACTCTCTTTTCCATCAAAAATTTCTTAAAATCTAACTGTGTATTAAGTACCTATATTCAAAGAGATAAAAGTTGGTTTAGGTGAGGTTGGGAGCCTTGAACAAATTTGCTACATCTACTTGCCTACTGTCACTAAGACGTCTCTAAAATTTACAGGTTTCCAAGGGTAATGCAGTTGATACTGAAATTTTGTATTTTTTATTATCACCAAAGGTAAAGTTACAGTGAAAAATCTATAGTTTTGAATGATATAAATTTAAATTTAAAAATGAAACCCAATAAGACTAAAGAGAAATAAAAGTGAAAATTGTTTCCACCAAACCCAACAGTTATTGTTTTCAATATATTTAAAAATTGTCTTGAAAATGGGACTATAATGTCCAACTTATGTTGCTGTTAGTGACTTCAATATTTGGTACATTGAAAAAGTCCAACAAAATTCATGGTGGTTATATAATAAATGGTATTTCCTTTATTATGAAAGGCTCAGATCATGTGATTTTAGTTTTATGTACCATTTTTTTGTCTGTGATGTTATCCAGGTTCTATCATATTACTCTATTTTATTCTATGTGGTCTGAATTTTTACTGTCACCAAAGAAAGTTTATTTGTAATGATTACAGTAAACAAAGTATACATAAGCCTTGGGACAACACCTACCATATAGAAAACAGTATCCAACTGTTATGGATTCTTGTTTTTCCACAATAATTTCATCAATTTCTCTATCGACTTACTTTCAGTAAGAGACTTTTCTTTCACACCTGCCTTGGTTACTAGCCTAATTCCCTCTTCTGTATTCTCAGACTGGTTCTTTTCTCCTGGCATGATAACTCATGCATTATAATTATTCATATGTATGTCTTACTTTCTTAGGTTTGTCATAGATTTTTGAGAGCAAACATGTTTTCTTTTATCTTTCATTCCATTATTCATTTATTTCTTCAAGACATAAATATTCACTGAGACACACTATGGGCCAGGTGGTAGTCCCAGCATTGAGAGTGAAAGATAAATGTAATAGCATTCCTGGCCTCAAAGAAATAATAACTGGAAAAGGAGACTAACTAATTATTTAAAGAACAAATTTGTTCAATTAAAAGAGTGTAAAAAATGTAGTGAGATCATTCAGGTTAAAGATCTGCAAAATTAGGAAAGGTATTCCAGAAGCCTGACCCTCTGAGTAGAAGAATGAGTTAGATCTTGAGTTTGTGGTGTTGACGGCAAGCCATCCCTGGCAGAAAGGAACAGCATTCACATAGCTGGACACACAGCCGAACATGGATACTGAACAAATTGATGAATGACATAGGTCTTGTCAAATGACATTTGCAGCATGAGAGTGCAGCTATTATGAACATTGTCTCTCCTCTCATGTTTTGAAATCAAGTTTCTAGGTCTATCGTGGAAAAAGGGAGTTCTCAAAAGAGAAGGGAATTCTTAGTGTTCTATACAGAAGATAGGATTATATTTATCAGCAGATCAAGGTCACAATTTTTCATTGCCAAAGATTTTTGGTCTTGTATTTTAGTAAGTTACTTTTGCAAGAAAATCACTCCTACTAACAATTTTAAAAGTATTCACTAAATTTGATTATAATGGAACACCTTTGACAAATGCCAGACAAGTGCTCCCTTTTCATACAAAACACTTAAATAATTATAAACATGAATATGTGAAAGATGAACAATAACCTCCTTGGTCTAAATTGTATGAGCTTTTTAAAGAAATTTAAATAATGTTTAGTAATGAATGGAGATAAATTTTAAGCTTCTTGAACCTACAACAGAAGCAATTACATATAATGATTCATAAAATTTAAAAGGGGATTATTTATTTTTAAAGCAAACCTCTTTGAAGTTAACTATCTAAGTTGAAACACATTCTACATAGACACATAAAGTATTCCAAATTGTTTTGTTTCTTATAATTTTATTAGCGTAAGTACCTTTTAGACTCTAATATGTTAGGAATCTTTGATTGTCCTCTGCCCTCACTTAATGATATCTGTTGCCTTTGAAGTTAAAAAAGCCAATTGGACACCAGGGAAGGAACAACGTGGTAGAGTACGTGTGTAAAAGACAATGTCGGGGCTGAAGGGCACCCTTTCTTCTATGTTGACAGAGATCAGAAATCTTGGATTTAATATTTGCCAGAAAATACCTTTGTATTTTAGAAAGTCTTCTAATTCTCGATTTGCTTTCCCATAAACAAATAAAAATTGAGAGGGGGTAAAAAATAATTTAAATCGTGTTATTTATATGTGTTAATTCTACACAAGAAATATAAACTTTTTTGCAAGCAGACATGTACTAATAAAACAAAAAATTAAAAAAAAAACACTAATATGCAGAATTTTAAAAGTAGCTGAGATAATAATTTATATGCTCACACATTATTATCTAAGGGTACCAGACATTAGGATTTGAGGGTCTCAGCATCTCTTAACACCTAAGGCATATTTACCCTGATGACTCACATGATTTCATTTCAGTTTACAATCGTGCCACCCTGAATGTGCCTGGTCGCATTCATTTCACTGTTTAACAACAAAGCAAGCTTCCTTTGTTATCTGATCCCATACCTATTTTACTGCCCCAGCAAACTGTATTTCTAGTCATGAGCTGCGCAAGACAGAGCCCTTAAAGACATTCTTAACACCTCCATCTTCTATCTCCCTGACTATATAAATTATGTACCAATATCTGTAAAATTTTTTTCAAAATCAGTATCAAATTCTTCCACACCTTTTCCCTTCTTTTCTATTGCCACCCCTGCAGATAAACTAATCATCACCTTCCTCTGGACTCTGATAATAGTGTTTTCATTGGTCAGTATAATGTACTATCCAATGGCAACAAAATTTTATAGCAATAATAATCTTTTGAAAACTCCAGCCTGATTAAAATTCAGCAATGTTTTTTCCATAATTCTAATAATATGGGCAAAATAAAGACTCTCTTTTCATCTACTTAACTCTACTTGTCACACTGTTATCATCTCAAACACCACTTCACTTACCACTAGAGTTAGGTTCATCTTTTTAAAAAAAATTTTTATTTAAAGGAAAAAAAAGAAAAAAGAAAAACAGTATAAGGGTACAAGTAATACAGAATTACAAAAAAAAGTAAGAAATCACTAGTTAATAGATTACATGTTGTCATCTTAGAAATAGTTGTTCAAATTACCAGGTTCATCTCTTAATTAATGTGTCAGTAGGCAAATAGTGTTTAAGGTCTTTTTCTTCCACTGTAAGCTATCTGAAGATAGAGAATATATTTCTTACTTTATGCTTACAATAAGTAAGACAAAATCTGTTCAAAGTAATTAGCAAGAAAATACATGTAGAAAATGTAAATATATCAAGGTGACCTAAAATTACCTACAAGGTAGAATACATGATTTTTAAAATATATATATAAAAGAAAGGTTGATATTTTTGTAGCAAGTTTTATTTACATTAGATAAGTGGTAAAACCTTCATGATACAAATCACTTGCACTCTGTTGATTTATTGATTTCAGCCCATATCAGCAGATTTGATGCTCAGAGGGACTTTCAAGATAAATTCTGACCTCTGAGGCTTGTAATCCAGATAAAAAGGGAACAGATTGTACACAGCAAAATTATCAAGCAAGTCTAAGTGATTAGAAATGACTGTGCAGAAATGATTTCTTATCTGACAGTCTGACGAATGGAGAAATATAGTCAGAATTTAGGCAGAGATAACAGCATGATCAAAACTGTGAAACCATGAAAAAATCTAGTATTGTCTGGTAATGGAAATAGGGGTAAAATTATAAATGATGAAACTTTACAAAATAGTTACCAACATGCTCTTGATCAAAATATAGGAAAAATAAAATGAATTGTTTTTTCTTGTTAGAACGAAGGAAGAACCTACTGCTTGAGATTGGCTCTGTTTTTGATTCACAGAAATCCCTTCATCTTATACCACTTCCATCTCATCCTTTGCAAAATTCTCTGTTCTCAGTGTTTTAAAATATCTAATCTCCTCAGGCATTCATTATAGTGCTGACTGTGATCTTTAGGTAAATTAAAAAAGCTCAATTAAACCCAATTTGTTCAACTAATGGTCCCTCACAAGAAGGACAGTATTGATAAAATAGAGGCTCTCATGTCAGATTTGTTAAAACACACTCCCATGACATACAGCTGGTAAATAGACAGGGGCAGCTTATAGTCTATGTTTCTGTTTTTCGTCTGTGAAGCAATGAAGTAAGTGTACCTACTTTGTGAAGTAAAGAAGATTAAAGGAAATAACACAGAACACTTAGAAGAGTTACTCATATAGAAAAAGAATATGTATTAGCTATTATGGAGTGACTCAGTTTATGTTAATGATTTTCCACCATTCAAGTAACAACCCACTATTCCATAAATACACTGTACAAATGTCACTTATATTGCTCTTACTATTCTCTTAGTTTAAAAAAATTTTCTGTTTCTTATGTGCCTACTGTTTTTTGTTTTGTCTTCTTAGGTTGAACCATTACAAGTTACTGATTTTCTACACTGTGCTCCTCTAAGATGACGCTTATGAGTCTTTCACAGTCCATTGTCTTGTACTTTCTTTGCACAATCATGTGGCTTCCACACTGGATTAGTAGCTTATTGAGATCTGAAACTGTGTCATTTCTAGAGTTGAATACTCATAGAGTTGAATATAAGAACTAAGAAGCTGGTAAATTTCACTCATTTTCCATTTTATTTTTCCTATATTTTGATTTATTTGTGTTTCATGAACTATCCATGAATATAATAGAACATCACTGCTTGCTAAATGTCTTTTAATCACATGTTATTTCTTGTTTTACTGTTTTGTGAAGGAAGACTGCTTAACATTGATACCTGGTTCCTCCATATGTTAGTATTTGGTATTAGAAAAGCCACTTAAAATTCTCTAAGGAACAGTATCCTCATCTAGTTCTAGGGAAGATAGTACATAATAAATGGTTGATTAATAATGCACATGAAGAATCTTCATGTAGCAGATTCAGGATGGAGAGGCACTATTATCAGTTTCTTACTTGTTAAGGAGATACTAGCATAGTTTTAGGTAGAATGGTTCTTTGAAATCCAGATTAAATTCCATTCCCAGTGTTTTATATTATCATATTAATCATAGACGTAGCAATTCATATTATAATAGATATTATCTTTTTTGGCACTGGGGATTGAATTCAGAGTTTCACACATGCCAGGCAACTATTTTAGCACTGAGCAATATCTCCAGCACCATTTTTATTTTTACTTTCATTTTAGATGTATTCCTGCCACTTGGCCTAGCCTAGCCTCAGCCTCAGGGTCAGCCTCCGTGAATGCCTGGATTACAGATGTATACCACTATATTTAAATCTAACTTACTAATTAGATTAAAAATCAAAATTTTCACAAATTCTTTTGGTAACTCTAGAAAGAAATTATCTAAGATAATTCTAAAGCTGCTAGATATTTACCTTGTACCACAATATACTAGATGTGCTAATGTACCTCACAATTTTTGAGATACAATGATCCCAATCACAGATGAACGAACTGAAATTTGAGTAACTGAATTAACTTTCACAATGGAAAACAAAGGATAGAGTCATGTTCCTAAACTTTTTCTGACTGAATTCTAGTGCTTTTCCATGGTTGCCATGCACAAAATGACCTATAGTAAGCAGAACAACAATGAATTCAAAGATCCTTAGAATTCAGCTCATGTGATAATATTGGTGATAATTCAAAGGTTGTACTACACATTCCCAGTTTAAAGGGTTTATAGAGATAACACTCTAGAAACATAAACTTTTGTACTCTTTCAAAAGATGTAGTTCAAACTAGATTTAGGCATTCAATTGAAAGATATTGAACTTTACCTGAATCTTGTAGGTAGCTGTAGTCATAGCCCAGATCTCTGGATGAAATAAAAAAATCACCATTTTTATAGAGAGGTATAAAAGGAACCATGTAGGAGTCCCGGTTATGTCCAATGGGTGCATTGGCTTCCGGATAAACTTCCTGAAGTGGGCGGTGTCTTCGGAGCCACTGTTCAAAAATACTGCAGAGGAAATTATTATCACACTCAAAAATATATCGTTAATAAAATAAATATTTTTAATTCCTAAAATAAAATAGCAAAACCTATATTAAAAACTCAGGAAATAGAAATTTGCTTAATATCTTCATAATTTCAAAATATTTTGTAAGATATTATTTCATGCTATTGTGCCCTACATAATATGTACACTCATTTGAAGGACACACGAAGAAAATTTTTTTAAAAACTTAGGGCAATGGTGAAATTTACACAACCAGTTTATAACTTAAGAATGTTGCAGATAAAAGATATTAATTATTGTTGAGTAAAAATTCAATGATATTCATAAATCAAATTTTTTTGCTTCAAAAAAAATCCAAAGAGAGAACATATATTATTAAATTGAATATAATAGTGGAAATTGACCATTTATGTTCAGGGTTAGTGAACTTTCAATTATTTCAACGTCTACCTGACATTTAGCAGAGTATATGCAAAACAAAACAGTGTAAGGGTACAAGTAATACAGAACTACAAAAAAAAAAAAAAACAGTAAGAAATCACCAATTAATAGATTACACATTATCATCTTAGAGATTGTTGCTCAAGTCACAGGATCAAAGCATACAAAGTGGACATTCAAACAGTGAGACTGCAAACAGTTGTGTTCAATGATCCAACAAAAACATTAATATGGTCATCTATCTTAACACACCTAAACACACTTGTAGTTGTATCCTTTAGAGCACTTTTTTTTCCTCTCTTTTTTACAACAAAATTTACACATTTTTGGGTTTTATTACTCCCATAGTTCTTATTACTTTTTTTTTGGAAGAGAATAAAACCAAATATGACAAAACAAAGCTGTCAGTCAAAACCAAGGATAGACATAGCACATGATGGAAAAACAGAGTACAAGGTTATCAACAATGGTTACCATAATGTCTCTTGCTTCCTTAAAAAGAATTGCCTATATCATTAGGTATTATAAAGTTGAACAAAACAGCACAGAACAAGACCAACAGAAGCTAAACATTGTAAACATTACAGGACTTCAAAAGAAGGAGTATATGTTTAATGAGCTTGGATAGAGACAGAGTTTTCTTACAATGATACAAGTTAAAACAACTGTGTTTGTTTTTCCAGCCTCACCCATGGCTAGGGTTGATCAACATTCAGCCAAACATATCTACCCATGATTCTAGAGGTGATAGTGACATAATGATACAAGGACAATGAATATTCATTTTAGTAGTAGGCAATAGCAATTCCTATAACATCGTCTTGCTTTCAAGGGCAACAGGACCAGATACACAAGCAAAGGAAGCTGTAATGTAGGAGTATGCTCTATTTTATTGAGCGATTTTGGCAGATGTTTTGATTGCTAGAAGTTTCCCGTTTTCTATCTGTCTCTGAACTTCTCGGTTAATTTGTGAGCCATCTTTTGAGCAATTTTTTCAATAAACCAGAGTTTATTTCTCTTGCATGAATTTCTTTGTGGAATGAAGTGTAAAAAGTTAAGTGGTGAAAGTTGATAGCTGGAATGGAGTAGAAACTCAAGTTGTAGAAGATTCCATAGCAGGCCATTATAAAAATATGACAAAAAGATTGGCTAGATCTGGGGTTAGAAAAATTCCCTTGAAGCCTATCTCTGTTTTTTAGTAGCTATATGACTCAGAAAGTCACTAAAGTTTCTGGAGACTTAGCTTATAAATACTTAAAATGAGAATAATATTTGTCCTACCTGCATTCAAAGGCAGTATTCATTGCTATATGCTTTTTTAAAATGAAAGTACTAAATAAATATGCTACTGTTTTAAAGAGTAGTTTAGAAGATCCTAGAAAAAGTAATATCTAAAAAGAAGATTGATAATGTTTCAAATTGAAAAAAAAGTTTTAAAAATTTCAACATTTTAAAGTGCAATAGAGAATAAGAAAGCCACATGATAGCAGTAATGCTCATTTTTTCCCCCACAATAAAAAATAGTAATTTTGTTGACTTAGCAAATCTGGACTTCCAACCTATTCTCATCAAAGTTGATTTTCAATTTGTTACTAATTGAGGGATCATCAGATCATTAATGAACACTGAAAACCTTCCCAATGATGTAAAATTCTCCCTAAACTATGCTATTAAATGTGTATTTGTAAAATATTGACTCAACTGTACAAGGTACTCAATTTTCCCTTTCTTCAACTGCAAAATGAAATTCTAAAAATGAAACTGTTATAAGGATGAATTAAGTAACAGAAGACACATAACTAGGTGATAAATGACTAGTAGCTTTCATACCATAGCTCTTCTTTGTTTTTGTCTTCCTCCTCACTATTCTCGTCCTACTGGAAGAAATGTACAACTGGTGAGGGACACAAGATCTGCTGTAATAAAATGCTAGAGGCACGTGTATTTAAGTAAGGTCTTCAGTAAGAGTTATTATTCTGATAGGCATAAATGCAAAACAGATTCAAAACATTTGAGTCTTCAGATTTAGGAACAGTCCAGTACACAACGCATAGTAAATAAGGCTTGAGGCAAAAGATGCTTTCATCAACTGAAAAAAATTACTACTATAATTTAATTTATAAATAATCTTGTTTCTGCAAATCAATAAAAATTCGCTACCTAAGTAGGACAAGGACATCAATTTTTTGCACTGAAAGACCTAATGGATGAAATCATTAATGCACTTAGTCACCTTATCAACCTTTCAAAACGAAGGAATTAATCTTCATTACATTCTTCACAGGTGGCTCTCTTCTTCAGTTAGTTTTATTAAAGTGGTTCTAGAGTAGCCCACATTGAAATGTCAGTATATAACTTTCATAATAACATTGACATTTTGAGAGAAAAATATCTTATTATCAGAGATCCATTTAAGCTGTATCTGGACATTTTTCTGGAAATCTGAGTAACAGTGAAATTCACAATAGAAGAATTAGGTAAGAGCAAAGGTGGTAAACAAGAGGAACATGAAGAAAAGTATGCTATATATAAACTGACATGCAGTTTCTGGTTTCAGCCTGACATGTAAAAACCCTGGCCTTGCCCATCTTTGCAGTAAAAAAAAAAATAAACAAATTGAAAAGCAGAAACTTCTCTTGGATTCACAAAAAAATTGAGGTTGCAGAGAAAAGAGCCAACCCTCTAACTGAAGGTACAGGGAGTCCTGGAGAACATGTCTGAGACCTCTTACCAGGAGCAGAAGCAACTAGGTCCTTAAACACTTTGAGGAAGAGCTGGGGACTGAGGCTAAGCTACAGGAAACAGTAATTCCTGGGGCTGTAATCTTAGGTAAATCCCACATATTCCTTCTGAGTTTTACATTTTGGAACTTCATCACGTTTTCATGATAAAAATCCAAGAAGGATGCTTGGTTAGATATTTCAGGGTAAAAGACACAGTGATAACTGCAAAATATATCCAGAATTTTCTTTCTAACAAGGCTCATAACCTAGAGGAAATGATTGTGTCTGATTAAACCCTATTGCAGGAGAAGGAAGGGAACTAGTGCCGGTCCACCTGTCTCACCTCGGAGGTGCTGGTGGTGGTAAACAGACCACTCCTGCCAGGGCCTTGAGAAATGGATTAGAAATGCAGTAGCCAGGAAAGGAAGGAGAGGAAAAGGAAAAGAGGCCGTACCATTGGAGATACAGCTGTGAAGGTCCCAGCGCCAAGACATTTATCCCATTCAAAGACTGTGACTTATTCAGAGTATTTACAGGACTTCTTCTCTCCAGTGCTGCACTTCCATACCAGCATAGCTTCAATAAAGCAACCCTGGATTGTAGCTATAGAGTTGAAAGATACATATGGTGTTTAAGGAAAAAGAGTATATAGGCAAGTACAAAACCAAGAATGGGAATGGACAAAAACATGGGGAGATTTGAGACCTCAGTCAACTACAACTACAGCAGAGATTAAGCACAGTCCAACTCCTTACCAAATTAAAATAAATTCTCACACTAGTGTCCTGTTTACCTTAGTTTATATAATAAAAACATAGCTCACTTGCAATAATAAAAAAACCTGCAGGGAATGTCAAGTAGGGAGAAAACAATCTGGAGTGGTTAAGGAATCTCTAAACCGAAATCAAATATGATGCATATTTTGGAATTGTCAAGCATGAAAATAAAACCACATGAATAATATGTTAAGGGCTCTGGTAAGAAAAGCAAATAACCTGCAAGAACAAATGGGTATTGTAAGCTGAGAGACAGAAACTCTTAAGAAAGAGTCAAAACGAATGCTAGATCTCAAAAGCACTACAAAGAAGTGAATGATTTTAATGAGTTTATAAGTAGACCTAATGTAATTGAGAAAAGAATTAGCAATCTTAAAGATAGTTTGGTAGAAAATTTCTAAACTGAAATATAAAGAGAAAAAGAAAAATTAGTAAAAGAAATTGAGAACAGCGGACAATTTGAGAGATGTAGAATGTACATTGTTGGAGTCCCAGGGGGAGTAGTGGACAGAGCGGTTAAAAAAGAACCAGGACTCCAGGGAGAAAAAACAGATTATAAATTGGGGGTGTGAACTATACGAGGGTGGCATAGGTTGTCATGCCAGAAAGTAAGCAAATGTTCACAAAAAAGACAGCGCCCCCACCCATGTTAGAGTTCTGTCAAATGACAGAGAAGGCAGCTGACAAAGCTTGCAAGGCTTAAACAATTTGAACTGAAAAGGGAAAGATGTTTGACTTGTAACCTAAATTATAAAATAAATATGACTGTGTCTTACTGATGTAAACTAAGAATAAATGAATATTGGAAATACATGCATTTACCACACAGAAGGACTCTAAATAATTATGTAGATGCTCTGATAACCTAGCAGGTGAAACATAGCATTTCTGCTCCTTAAACATGGGCTGTACCTAATGATTTCTGTACAGAAGGGTGGTGGAATCATTGAAGAATTTCAGAAACCTATCAGAGCTGCCTCTGACAGGTGATCTGGCTAGCACTAATAATGGTAAATTTATTGTTTGAACCCTTTACACTGTAAGAAGGGAAAATTTTTT